GCCAAGCCCCATTCCTCAGGCCAAGCTTCCGCACTCCAATTCCCCTGAAAAAACGCACCGTAACCCGACGAACCCGCTGCATCCGCGTAGAGCTCCAAATCCGCATTACTAATCGGGCCCTCCAGCCGCAATGAACGACCATTGAAGGATTCCAAGAAGTAATTCCAGACCAAGAGGTCCTCCCTGTGTTCTGGGGACAAACGCACAAAATGCCCCGACAAGCGACGGCAAAAAACCCTCCCCACGGGCATAATTCTGCAGGCAAAATTTAACTTACCCAATAGGGATTGCAAAAACCGCAATTGCAACTTCTTCCTACCACTAGCAGCCCGGACCTCAGCGCGTAGCGCCAGCATTTTGTCTTCGGGCAGTCGGCATTCCATGGCCATGGTGTCCATGACTATGCCAAGGAAGCCAAGTTCCGTGGTTGGCCCCTTCGTTTTTTCCTGCGCCAGCGGAATCCCAAATCTGTCAGCCACATGCTGCAGAGTAGCCAGAAGGACAACACACAATTTGGAATCCGGAGGGCCGACGCATAAAAAATCGTCTAAGTAATGGATAAGAGAGTTTGCCCCAGACACCTCCCTGACAACCCATTACTAAAAAGAGCCAAACTTCTCGAATAGGGCGCAAGAAACGGAGCAGCCCATAGGCACACATTTATCAACAAAATAAGCTCCTTGCCAATGGCAACCGAGTAAGAAGAAACTGTCAGGGTGAACAGGGAGAAGGCGGAAGGCTGATTCAACATCAGTTTTCACCATCAGCGAACCTTTCCCGAACCTCCGGACCCAGGCGACAGCTGCGTCAAAGGAAGTGTAGGAAACCGCACACATGGAAGGGTGAATAGCATCATTATCTGACCCCCCTTTGGGATGGGATAAATGATGAATGAGGCGGAACTTGTTAGGTTCCTTCTTCGGAACTACCCCTAGTGGCGAAACTACCAACCTGGGTAACGGGGGAGGGGGGGAAGGAAAGGGGCCCCCATGCTACCTAAACTCACCTCCTTAGCCAGTTTCTGAGTAACAATGGAGGGATAAGTAAGGGCAGATTTTAGATTACGCACGAACGGAGGAACGACGGCCAGAGAACAAGGAATCCGAAAGCCTTCTGAAAACCCTGCCTCCAAGAGGGCAGCCGCAGCCCGATCCGGATATCTACTTAGGAAGGAACGCATCCTTTCCACCCTCACCGGAGTCATCCCTTTTTCCCGCAGGATCGGCGGTACGACCCCTCCCTTGTTTAAAACATCTGGAAACGGGGTGGCCTCCCCCACAACTGGAACACTCGTGCTTGAAGCGGCAACCGCTTCCAAACCTGCAGGAACCCTCGTTGAACTGCCAACAGAAACCTTTTCGTCTGGCGGCCGGTTGTCCCGCCACGGCGAAGCTCCCGGCCGCCCCATGAAAAGATGGGGAGGACACCCTAGCCGAGGTCATCAGCTTCATCCAGAGGCTGATGTCCTTGTGATCCCAGCGAATGGATGGTCTGATGGCCTTACACTGACGAAACTGTTCGTCATAGCGCAGCCACGCCACCCCACCTTATACCCGATATGCTTCCCGATGGCGTCCCGATAACAAAAAAGGGGGGAGCAATGTTCGGGAGCCTTTTCCCCAATAACGCTCGCCAAAATAGCAAAAGCTTGTCACCAATTGGCAAACGTACGTGGAATAAGGCGATAGCGACGCTTTTCCTCATCCTCCTCTTTGTTTTTGTCCAGCTTTAACCTATCTAAGTTAAACTTCTCAAGGGGGGTGGAGGGAAAATATATCAATGTATTCCCCTTTCCATATCTTTTCCCTGACCTCAGTTTTGAGATGGGACCCTAGGGGACCCTCAAAACAAACGTAAACCTCGCATCTCGCAGAATCCGCCAAACGAACCGACTCCGCGCCCTTGTCGGCTGGCTTGGGGGGTGCTGTTTCATTGGCAACCAACGGTACAGTTGAGACCGACGGGTTATCAACCGGCAAAATGGGGCAAAGGGGCTGGGCCACTGGCACGGGGGACGTACTTACCTCCGCAGCAGATGCCTGTGGCAACCATGCGTCCGCCATGCTCACCTGCGTAGATGCAGCCGCAACCTGTTCCCCTACCCTGTTGACGGTATGCAGGGCATCAAGAACTGCTGCTGATGACCCTCCAGGAAAAGGCGCAGCCTGCAGGGACCCCCCTGGGAAATGCCTTGACGGCAAGGACCCCGTTGCTGTCAGGGACCCCCCTGGGAAATGTATCGCTGGCCCGGACCCCCTTGCTGGCAGGGACCCCACTGGGACAGGCATTGTAGAATGGGGCTGCAAAAAACCCCCACATACCCCATGCAGAAAATTTACAAAAGCAGAAGATAAGGCATTAGTGATAAGGCATAAAGGAAATTCACCTGGCTGCCCCGGAGTGACCCCAGGAGCAGCAGATCCAGAAGCCAGCATAGCCGCATCCACATCTTCCTCGGATCGGCCGGAGTCCTGGACAGCAGAGGTGGATGGCACATCAGAAGGGATTCCCCTGATTGGCGCTGGGCCGGCGCGCACGCAGGTGACATCACATCTTCTGGCGGGCCCTCCCCAGGACGTGGGAGCGCCCGCCAGAAGAGAGGTGTCCTGCGCGGCGCCTGCTCCGCGAGGCCGCCGCACGATCAGGCAGGGAAGAGGGCAGCCCGGGAACAGCAATGGAGGTGGAGGGGGAGGGGCCACCGACCGCGCCAGGAGACAGGTCGGCGCCCGCAGCGGAACGTGTCCCACGCTGAGCCACCTCCCCGACCGTAGCATCGCCGGGTGAGGCGGAGTGGAAATGTAAAGTGTGGAAGCAGTACAAGATTTTAGGAAGAATACTCGTCTGTAATGCCGCGACTCTACCAGCCGAGAGCATTTCAAATGTCACTAAATTATTTAATTCAGCTTTTATAAGGCACTAGGGGTGGAAGTTAGGTGAATACCAAAATAAGGGATGCTTTGTGTTGCCCAAGAATAAGGACATTTACTCTGTAGGCATGCTAGTTCTGATTGCTCAATTCCTTTACCTAAAATATGGGAAGTCCCCTCATTGACCTTGTAATACGACACAGTACTGAACAAACGCAAGAGTTGTTGTACTCCTGCCAGAGAAGGAGCCGGATTCGTCAAGTTAAGTACAATGTCATCAGCAGAAAGACCAATTTTATGGACAGAATTGCCTACCAAAATAACCTGAACTGTAGGATGACTTCTAATTGTCACTGCTAAGGGTTCCATAATCTCAGAAACTATAATCAGCGACAAAGGGAAGCCAAGGTGTGTCCCATTGGTAATAGAGAGGAACAACATAGCATACCCGAGGAAAAAAACCTTTGTGGTGGGAAACGTGTAGAGCTCCATGATTGATGTGGACTGTAATACAGGAAGGGAGGGCTGCTCACAGACAAGGTGCTAAATATGTTGGATTAGTTTGGCTGGACTTCTTCACTAGATACTGAGGGAAAATGTTTACAACATTTCCTTATGTCATGATGATATGTTATACATGGCGCTTGCCCCACCATCTTGGTGCTTTTATACGAATCCTTTGGTAATATCTGATGTTTGTATATGAAACACATATACAATATATAAACTATTAACCTGCCAAAAGATGTGTAGTTCTCCTCAGTCAGTCTTGTCCCAGATATCAAGGATAACTTGCCACAAACTTGTGTCAGGGTGAAATTGTAATTTTGTTAACTTGCTGCACACGTTCCTGGCAAGTTGTAGACTTGCAGAACACTCGCAGCACAAGTTCTAGGCGACACTTTTTGAATTTGTAGCAAATTTGCTTGGCAAGTCTACAGCAAGAGTCATGCAGGTCTTAGCAAGAGCTCTGCAAGCTCGCTGGTCTGGAGACTTGCAATGCAGACTTGATGTAATTGTGCAACAAAATTGTGAAGCTTGGCAAGTCTGCAAGAGTTTAGCAAGTCATTTTCAAACTTGCAGCACAATTGCTTGCTATCTGGGGTGATTCAGTCACTGCTGCCAGAATATATAGCCAGGTCCTGGACCTTAAGGTGACATCAAACCCTCTGTTTTTTTCCATGTATTTACTGATAGCAAGCAGCAGATATATGCAAAAACATTTTTTTAAAAGTCACCAAAAAGGCTTTTACTTACCTCTGTCTCTGCCGCTCGCTCCGGTCCGAAGATCTGAAAAATTCTCGAGCAGCCACGAAGTGAGAAGATTGGCTGCAGCCCTGGTAATCCCCATAGGCTGACAGCCAAGCACTTAGGGCAGAGGGAAAAATCTAACATGGAAACTGGACAAAAGGAAAAATCCAGCATGGATACCAGGACAGTGTGACAATCAGTTTGTAATAATGAGCTTTACATTTGTGTAAACCATGAGTTAGTTTGCAGTTCACTGAATGAGTGATTTGACCATCTCACCCACCCGCCAAACCTGTCTGTGTCTGTGTGGTCTGCACACCATCATTGGCTGACCGGTGGTGATCCACACAGCATCATTGGCTGCTAGGATGTAGGTGGGTGCACCATAACAACCTTTGATGCTGTGTGGCCCAGCTGCTATCATCCTAACATCCTATGTGGGTTGCACAGTACCATTGCCTGCTAGGACACAGGCGGCCCTGACAATGGTTTGACTAGACATTCTTCAACACCCAGATTTCCGGCTTGCTTCAACAAACTTCCAAGCATTGGCTGATTTATTGGCCACACAGGGAGGACATTGTTTTCAGGGTGTTGGCTTACTCCTATTGTGAGAAGGAGAAGTAAAGTACAGTCATAGTGTAATGCTGTGAAGTAGATCCTGAGTATGCACTGAACAATGTATGCATATACTGTATATTCACAAAGTATACAAAGAAGGTCTTTGAACTTTTACACATCGAGCTAAGATTATATATTGATGCAAAAGTTGCAAAAAAATCCCCTTGAGTTTTTAGGTTTCTCTATTTTTCTCCTGATTTCCAGATCAAAATGTACAAGAAAATATCAAACTGTATTTTGCTTATGTGTGTTCTGCCGGCCATGAAAGTTAATGAGGCAGATGATGTGAGGACACCGGCATGTCATTTGGAGATGATCTATGACAGACCCCGTTACAATACTAGAGAAGGTGATATGATTGTTGGAGGAATCTTAGAAATATCATCGTCTGGAAGCCGTAGTCCATCACCTTCCTTTAGCTCGAAAAATCAGGAAGTGGACAAATGTATACAGTAAGTAATTTGGATTCATGGAAAGTCCCGGCTCCTCCCACATGACACATCCTTGTGCAGTCCTCAGTTGTAAAAGATGGGAACAAAGCGTTTAACAAGATATTGAAGCGACCTTTTCATATTGATGTACTCTGAAGTACAGAGACTGCAAGAGACTGATGCAGCTGGCCACATACTGCTTGGATTTGAGCAGTGTGTTCACTATGCCTATAAGTATTAATATTTGCAAGACTCAGGTCCTTGACCCTGTTCTCAGATATACTATATAATGCTTCCACTGCAATTCCTATTGAGATGGTAGCTTTAAGTGACGAGACCTACTGCCTTAAGATACTTGTTCTTCCTTACCTTGTCCCCTGTCCCTTCTCTTCATTATCCTTCCCCTCCTTTCCTTGTTAAGGTCCCACAGCTTATTAATTCCTTAATTGCGTCTACTTCATCTCTTGTTCACTAGATACTGAGGGAAAATATTTACAACATTTCCTTATGTCATGATGAAATGTTATACATGGAGTTTGCCCCCCTATCTTGGTGCTTTTATACGAATCCTTTGGTGATATCTGATGTTTGTACCTCTGAACTTAATACTCTATTTGCAATCAAAATTAAAGATAGGTATGAAGGTTAATTTAATAACCTGTATTTGTGGGAAGGGATTATGGCTATTTAAACTCCTCCTCTTCCCTTTCCTGCCTGACGTGTAGGGGAAGCGTTTGTCTGTTGGCAAAGAGGAAGCTGTATTCCACTTCTGGGTCAGGGGTCAGGTCACGCTGCATGGGTCTGTTTTCAGCATGCAGCAGCTTAATCAATCTCTTCTATACTCATTCGTATTGCACTTTGCTCCTATCCATCTTAGGTAGGAATAACCCATGATTGCATGGTTTCAGCAAGTAATCAATTTCAGGTAAGGTGCCTTTTTACAGTTCAGGTATCCTAAAGGTGCCCATATACTATACAACCCTTGCAAGACTTTTGTCTTGCGAGGGTTGTAAAGTAATTAAAAAAACGTACGATCTGCCCATCTTGGACAGGCAGATCGTACTTGCGATGACTGCAATGCTGAACGGGCAGTGTGCGCGTTTCTGACAAACGCAATCGTAGACAAGAATCTGCAGATGGTTGTAGAGTGTCTGGGCACCTTTAGAGTTTTTACTTAATATGCACTCATTCACAGATCTATCCATATTTTTCTATTGTGGAACATATGTTTCATAATCACTTGACCTGTATGATATTTCTCACATTATGACTTGAGTTTTGCTTTTTAATTTGCGACTCCTTTTTATCCTTCATCAGCCAGAAGTATACATTATTCTGTCCAAGATTTGCAACGTTATAGTTATGCGATGGTATTTTGGTTGCCACTCAACCTTGATAGAGTTAATAAGGCTGCAATTAAACTTTTGGCAAAATGCACGTGTTTAAAAAAAAAAGAAACAGTTTATTGGCATCCGGTACTATGACATGCCATGCATTGTGTTGTTATGCTACATAAGGTGCAATGCATTCTGTCTATCCTGCCATGTATGATGCCATGCAATCCTGCCATGTATGATGCCATGCAATCCTGCCATGTATGATGCCATGCTGAAATTTTGCATATTTGATATAAGTTTTGTTGAAATTATTAAAGGTACATTTCTTTTCTAAGCGTATAGAGCTCTTGTCTAAGGCGTAGTGCCCTCACTAATAGTGATGGGCTCGGGCGTGTTCGCAGCTCCACGTGCCGAGCCCGCCAGGAAGCTGACAGCGCCACAGCGCCAATCACAGGTACTGAGACATATCCCGATCTCTGCAGCTGCGTGTCGGGATAATGTTTCAGTACCTGTGATTGGCGCTGTCAGCCTCCTGGCGGGCTCGGCACGTGGAGCTGCAAACACGTCCGAGCCCATCACTACTCACTAAGATGCCCGTTGCCTCATGTTGTGTTTCCCCTATCTCACTTACAGGTATCCAGGCCTTGGGCAAGGTGTAGTGCCCTCACTCAGGCACACAAGGCCTCATGTTGTGGCTTCCTCTGGCTCACTCCCAGGTACATCTCTCTCGGGTTCCAAGGCCTTGTCCGAGGTCCAGTGCCCTCACTCAGGCACCTGATGCCTCATGTTGTGTTTCCCCTGTCTTGCTTCCAGGTACCCAGGCCTTGGGCAAGGTGTAGTGCCCTCGCTCAGGCACCCGAGGCCTCATGTTGTGGCTTCCACTGGCTCACTCACAGGTACATCTCTCGGGTTCCAAGGCCTTGTCCGAGGTCCAGTGCCCTCACTCAGGCACCCGATGCCTCATGTTGTGTTTCCCCTGTCTTGCTTCCAGGTACCCAGGCCTTGGGCAAGGTGTAGTGCCCTCGCTCAGGCACCCGAGGCCTCATGTTGTGGCTTCCACCGGCTCACTCACAGGTACATCTCTCTCAGGTTCCAAGGCCTTGTCCAAGCTCATGTGCCCTCCCTCAGGCACCCGATGCCTCATGTTGTGTTTCCCCTGTCTTGCTTCTAGGTACCCAGGCCTTGAGCAAGGTGTAGTGCTCTCGCTCAGGCACCCGAGGCCTCATGTTGTGGCTTCCCCTGGCTCACTCCCAGGTACATCTCTCTCGGGTTCCAAGGCCTTGTCCGAGGTCAAGTGCCCTCACTCAGACACCCGATGCCTCATGTTGTGTTTCCCGTGTCTTGCTTCCAGGCACCCAGGCCTTAGGCAAGTTGTAGTGCCCTCGCTCAGGCACCCGAGGCCTCATGTTGTGGCTTCCCCTGGCTCACTCCCAGGTACATCTCTCTCGGGTTCCAAGGCCTTGTCCGAGGTCAAGTGCCCTTACTCAGGCACCCGATACCTCATGTTGTGTTCCTATTCGTTGGTTGTGGGCCCCTTTTCCTCAATACCCATTTCTAGGTTTGTTTGTCTTCTCTAGTTGTAAGTTTTGTGCAGTCTGCCCGAGCAAGTTTCATGAGACCCATCACTTGGGACTAAATTTAATTTATGACCGCTAGGTCTATAGCCGCAGTATTTTAGTAACACTTGTAGTAGTTTTCTTATGTTATCGTATCAAGTGTCCACGTCTAAGTCTGTATGTTTTCTGTATGTTTTAGATAGGGAGGTGTCTTCTTTAACCTGTGCCAGTCCTCACATGATGTAGCTGATGTATCAATGTCTGCGTCTGTCTTGTGACTGCTTTTCAGTCCTCTGTCAGTGCAACTAAAGTTGCATGTGTGTAATTGTAACGTCCAGTTAGTCTTGCTCTAGTCAAGTGTGTGTTTCTGTCATGGTTATACTATAATAAGATATTCCTAACTCCACATTGCACCAACTCTGTGCTGGAGAAGCTGCATTCACAATAGCAGCCACATTTAGTTACTGTCAGCTGTACTTTTATATTACATGCACTTAGGTTGGCAAAGATTGGTCTCAGCGATTTCAACTGCATATAAGCAAGATCTGATTTTGTGAAGTTTGCCATTTAATCTTGTGATACAGCTCCGCCATACTAATGTCTGGCACGGTTCACATTAATTACTCCCTGGATTTCAGCAGTTATGCTCACTGATGGGTGGAAGACCTAGTTGGTAGTCCCTCTCAATTATGGACCTTGGTTGTCAGATAAATGTAGCCTCTGTAGCTTTATCATGTTCTTTTGGCCTGATTAAAATACCAAGTACATCGGCGTTCTTCATGCTATTCACGTCCTACCTCTCCCTCAGATAAAGACGACATTAGTGTTCAACTGCTCAGTTACATAGTGCGACTTATTCTGGATGTATTGCTATGTTACTCAAATTAACTCTGTTAAATTCTAATCTATCTGTTTTATTTTTGCCCCATTTTAGGTGTACGTAAAGAACGAGGCCACGGACTCACCTCAGGCCACGTTAGCTCATCAGCACAACTCCGTCCATATTAGATTATCCCTTAGACGGTGTTCTTATACCCAACGATAAGTGTTGAGGTCCAGCTCCACTATGCTAATACCTGGTGAAGGTCTTGGCACATTAATTACTCCCTGAATTTCAGCAGTTATGCTCACTTATGAGTAGAAGACATAGGTTACGGTCCCTCTAAATTATGGACATTGCTTGTTGGATAAAATCCGCCACTGCAGCTTCTTATCATGCTCTTCTGACCTTGTTAAAACAAGTACATCAGTGGTCCTCTTGCTATTCACTTCTTACCTAACACTTCGATAAAGTGCATTGGTATTCATCGACTTAGCCATGTAATATGACTCATTCTGTATTCATCGTTATGTTACTCAAATTACCTGTTGTATGCTAATCTATCTGTATATTTTTGCCCCCTTTTAGGCGTACCTAAAAGCGTGGCCACTGGCACACCTCAGGACACATTAGCTCATTGGCACAACTCAGCCCACACCATATCTATTATATGGCATATATACCAGACCTCAATTACAAAAGTATATTAGTGTATCACCCCCTGACCCCCAGAGGCATGAGGTGGACCCCAAAAGGGCAGGGAGGGCCGACATTTCATTCTCAGGGGCCTCTGCCAGTGAAGGGACCTGTGATCAATAAATTGGGCGCCATTCAGTTTAACTGCCTTTCTAAATCCTTTTTTGCTGAACACCATACCTGGAAGAGAGGGTGTAGGGCTTCAGAAATTCATAGCAAAAATAGAACAGACTCCAGACTCACCAATCCCTTCAGGCTTCCACAGTGCAGAATCATTAGGAGAACAGTCTGACACTGGGCAATAGAGCAACAGCTGAATAGGGATGTGCATGAGATCTTCCATGGGAGAGACACCAGACTTGTTCCTGAGGTCCATATCAGCTCCTGGTCATAAGTCTTCTCTGGTTCTCTTCCCCAGACAATTCTAGACCCCACCTGGGTCCACATGGGGCCTCCTCCAGGCTTGAGGCCTAGTCAGCTTCTCCAACATTGTACATGCCACCCCGAGGCCAAGCCTAGGGGCAGACTGCCCTTGTCACATGGCAATCCAATTGCATGCACCACTGGCCATGAAACTCCTAGCGATTAGCTGGTGTGGCATAGACACACATGAGTCCTCAGTTTCTTTTGCTTGGGACTAATAGTAGAAAAGTTCAGATTTAATTTATTTTTTCCAAAATTCCAACTGAAAAGTAAACCATCTTATTTCACATGTATAACTTTTCTGGTCACAGTGACAGAAAATATACATCTTCTGCAGTCTTGGTCATTTCTTAGGCTTTATGGTTTCAGCCAAAAAAACTTTAATTTTACGCTTATGCCTTGCTTGCCATTTCAACAAAACACCATGATCATCCATCATTATCAAGAAAGAGGGGTTGCCATTGAAGTGACACCAAGAAATGACAGTTCAGTGTCACCTCCACCCGCCATTAAAAAAATGGGTTTGGAAAAGATGACATTTTAAAACCAGCCCCTTGTTCTTCTATACTTCTTCTCTTCCAGTCAAACACAGTTCGGGGTACATTTGTGTAACTCAGCTGGAAGCATCCACACTTTATCCAAACATGCTTTGTGCCGAAGTATAATGTTGCCAAGCTGTCAGTGTACAGTGTAACAAATATTATTTTATTGTACTCTTTATCTTGCTCACATCATTTTTGATAAGATGCAGCTAGGAAAAAGTTGATCCTTAGGCTGGTGGCACATGTTTTGCCTCCATTTTCAATTTTGTTTTAGGAATCATAAGGTTTGCTTAAATACTTATAGAAGAGTGTATTATAGATTTTTGTTGCATACAAAGCAAGATTCATTGTCTCTCTTCAGATATCCTCACAAGTATCTGAGACATCTTCTGGTCTTCATATTTGCCATAGAGGAAATTAACAACAGAACAGACCTGCTGCCGAACATCACGTTGGGATTCCAGGTTTATGATACGTGTAACAGGGAACATGAAGCTATACAGAGTGTTCTGGATGTCTTATCCGGGTCAGATGATCCAATTCCAAACTATGATTGTCATCAGAAGAGTAAAGTGTTTGGGTTCATAGGTCACAGGACCATTTCCTCATCTATGGCATCAGCGGCACTGACGGGGGTCTACCAATATCCTCAGGTACTGTCAGTGGTGGACCTAAGGAACAAAGGGCCCTGGTGCAAGATTTTTTCTCACCCCCCTTTCACTCTGGGGGGAGGTATGGGGGCCCGGGAGTGGATCTCACTGGACCCCCATATGGAGGATGGGGCAGATGTGGAGGATGGAGTAGGGGGGCAGATGTGGATGGAGCAGGGCAGATGTGGAGGACAGAGCAGGAGGCAGATGTGGAGGACAGAGCAGGAGGCAGATGTGGAGGACAGAGCAGGAGGCAGATGTGGAGGACAGAGCAGGAGGCAGATGTGGAGGACAGAGCAGGAGGCAGATGTGGAGGACAGAGCAGGAGGCAGATGTGGAGGACAGAGCAGGAGGCAGATGTGGAGGACATAGGGGCAGATGTGGATGGTGCAGGGGGGGGCAGATGTGGATGAAGCAGGGGGTGATATGCTTGTGATGGGATGTATTAGAACACAGAACAGAACACAGTTGTACTTTAAACTTTCTTGTACAGGTTTGTTCCATTCCATGTTCTAACATGGCAAGTCACCTCTCCTAAACTGTCTGATAACGACCTCCTGGCTGGTGTCAATTCACACAGCTGGAGGAAGCACGGGGAGGGGGTAGAAGATGTGAAAAGTAAAAAAATTTACAGAGCAGTCAAACCTGCCGTGGGTCTCCCTCTGCAATGTCAGGCGGCAGCTGCTCGCTGGGTCCTCACGCCCGAGGCCCCAGAGCTGCCCTATTAGCGGCCTATGTTGTGTTTGCCACACAACCTGCTTGTAACTGCCCGACGCCCCCTCACCACCACTCAGCGGGCCCCTCACAGCCCTGGGCCCCGGGACTGCGGCACCGGCTGCACCGGCGGTAGTTTCCCTTCTGGGTAATGTGAATAACATACATTTTATTTTGTGATTTTAAATCACAAAAAGGTCTAGAACAATGGACTGAATATTCTAAAAGGTTGCATTGTGATTTTTCATTTATATTAGTTAAACATGAACATGAACCCATACTTTCCATGCAGAGAAAAGCAACAGGTCCAATCTAATTCCCCCCCAACCCTAATGTTACATACTCATCTACCTTTTTCTCCCCTGTCCCTGGGAATGAAGAGAGGAAGCCCTGTGTAATCTTTAAGTCAATCTAGTCAGAGTTTACACACAGTGAGAACTCTCTCCACCACCAGGTGACAATGATGGTTCCTGAGTGGTCAGTCACCAAGAACCAGCAACTGTTTGTGCCTAGTCTAAGAGGAGTCATTTTGCCCAGAGAGTTGCTTTGATGACTTTGAATTATATTTGAGTTTTTTTTATTGCAGATCAGCTATGGTGCAATGAATCCAAGCTTCGATAGTAAGTTCCAGTTTCCCTCATTCTATAGCACAGTCCCTGATGTGAAGGATCAATTTATAGCCATCATCCTCTTATTGAAGCATTTTGGCTGGAATTGGGTGGGCATTGTGTCTTCAGATGATGAGGACGGTCAGAAGGTCAATACAGAGCTGAAAACTCTTCTGATACAAAACAAGATTTGTGTTGAGTTTGCTGTCACTCTAACTGACCATTATTATATTGAGAGAATTGAAAAAGCTTATCGCAGCCTTTCAATGTCAACCTGCAGCATTGTAATACTGTATGGTAATGCAAAGGCTGGCAATCTAATCCATGCCATGAGCGATATTTCAGCCTCAAGGAAGATCTTTGTATTGTTTGGAGCTTTCCAGATATATAATAACCAAGAGTATGTTACTGTTCTTAATGGTTCTCTGCTGGTCGATTTACACAGAGGGAACATTCCGGGACTGAAGGATTATCTTCTTGATATCAACCCTGAGAAATATCCTGATAACCCCATGATTCTCGATGTATGGAGAGATGAATTCTCTTGTGTGCCTGAATCTATTGAGAAAGTGTCTTATGATAAAGCATGCAGAGAGTCTTATAGTTTCCGTTCTGTGGATCCCTCTAGTTATGATGTGGAAAATTTTCGCTACACTTTCAGCGTGTTCTCTGCAGTTTATGCCCTGGCATACGCCCTACATGATGTATATTTACACAATAAGGTCATTGAGACTAGAACCCAAAATTGCCACCTATGGCAGGTACAAGTAATATGCTCGGGTAACATAAGACAGAATGTGAATTTTTAAAAACTTTGTAATCCTATGCTCCTCAGTGCCATCTAGTGGTGGTAGTGCCATGCGAACATTGATAAATCAGTCCCTTAGAGTGTGAGCACCATTCAGTGCAGTGATATTCTGAATCTAAGATGGCATGATGATAGGGCAGGTCCATGACAGCCTGGGCTCAGAGTAAATGGGTTGATTTGAGGCCGGCCATAATTCAACTCAGAAGACTGGTAATATCCAGTTGTTTAAAGAAAGTACTGCATGGGACAGCTCTAGATTAGAGGTTTATATTGCAGAAAAAGGCATTTTATTTTTAATAATGCTGAACCCCTAAATATGCATATTTTTGCCCTTGTTAAAGAGTCCATCTACTTCCTAGTGATTCCAGATATGTAGTTTTCAGGATTGGTGGATTGGAACTGTTCAACTATAGCCCTGGTACTCAACCTGTAACCTGAGGGACACATGTGACCATTTGGTACTTGTGAGTGGTCTTTAATCTCCAGCAATCTGCAGAGCGAATGGAACTATTGGCTTGTATAATCTCTACTAGCCTCATATAACACGTCTCCAGTCTCTCTCTGTCTTCTAAATCATTTCTCTATTCTTCAAACAAACCTGTAGCTTTTCCACAGTCTCTGACCAGCATTTCCTCGAAGTTGTCTTCACTCTCTGACAGTCCAGCTTTACATACAGTATACTGAACATTAAGTGCAGCCTTTTGGTTACAGCTCAGGCCGTCTAAATTTTGCAAGTAAGCAACCATTGCACTTTAGATGCAGACCGGTACTTTTTGAGTGCAGAAGCTTCAGATGCTGGATGACGTACTAACAAAAATGAGGAGAAGGATCTACCACCAAACCTATGTGATCACACCACTAAAACACAATAATAACTTCTGAGATTTAAACAAAATGGTGTAATATGTTCAGGTTTCATTGCCATATATATCCCAACATAACAGACACAGTTCCGAGTCCAGTGTGACTATTATGGGATTGTGTAGAGATGTCACCAGCTCACCAACATACTTTTAGGATAGCAAAATGTTCATATATTGTCATGCATTTAGCCCTGTACGTATTGTCTGTTATGGCAAATAGTTGTTCTGCATCCCCGGATGTTTTAATTACTTCAACCCTTAATACAGTGTTACATGCATGTATGACAAGAAATCTTCAATAAAGGAACATTTGTGCTGTCCTATTTTGGTGTGCTGGTGACTTCTCTACATGATTGCTGATATTTGCAGCGCCATCCGCAGTCACTGCGAGCACCCCACCATTACAAGGGATATTCGGTAAGGAGTGCGACAAGGAAAGTAAGTATTATGGGATTGTGACAGAAGGCAACTAAACACAGGAAAGTCAAAGCACTAAGATCTGAATTAGAACACAGATAAACAAAATAGCAGTCAGCAAATGTGTAATAAACAGGAGTCTTCACACATTTCAACTGCTTGATAATAAAAAGTTTTCTATGCTTCATCTTTGCGTAGAAGCGTTGGGTCTCCATGCCACCTGTTGACACAGAATTGTTTATTTCCTATCATAAAATCTCCCCCGATGAGATTACACACAAATTATGATGATTATGACTGACAAGGAACACCATTGAGGCTTGCTCACACCAAGTCCGGAGCAGATCTGCACACGTTTCTGCACAAGCATGCATATGCGTTTGAACAGGTTGTTAATGCATTTTAGATGCGTTTCAATTCCAGAACTGGTGTGAGCTAGAGCCCAAAATACCATTAGAATACATTGGATGCATTTTTGATGCATTCTGAAAATGTTCTGCTCTGCATCTGCTCCGGACTTGATGTGAACAAGCCCTTAGTGGAGTTTTGTTTTAATGGCCACACCATTATGACACACGTCTCAGGTTAACTTGAAAAGTAAAACCTTTTTTGGATGTTTTGGAGTCATGGGTATGGAGAAGGCCGGAGAAGTGAACAGACTAGGCCAAAATTCAGCTCACTTTCCAGTTCAGCTATGTTGTCCTAGATTGTTCACTTCTCCAGCCTTCTCCAAACTCTTTATCCGTTTGTGAATAGCCCTGTTAGTTATCAAACGTGCTCAGCACTAAGAATGAAGTTGGGGTTCACCACTGCCATGGGTTAGAGGTTCTGGCAAATTTATTTGCAGATTCACCCAGGAGAATTTTTTCAAAACCATAATGCACTGCATGCCACTGAATATCTAGCAGGCTTAAAACAGTCAATAGGGGGCTTTTGGATAAGCCAACCCCCTAACTATAAAATGGGCGTGCTCGGGGCAGCCATTGTGTTAGTGTATTGGTAGCTGATGTAGTGAAAGATGACAATCTGCAAAGGGAAAGATTGGTCAGTTAGGAAAATTTACCTTAATTTTCTTTGTTAAATGACTTTTCTAGAATTAAAGTAAAATGAAAGGAAAAGGAAAGAAAGATTGCAAAGAAGCAAAGGAAAAGGAGAGCAGTGGGGAGGAGAAGGAAGGTGAGAACTGAATTTGTATCGATTCCTATTTTCAGATGAACAGGTATCTGAGGAGAGCGCACATTACAACTAAAGGAGGAGAGGAGATACAGTTTAATGATGGAAAAGTCTCACCCAGGTTTGATCTGTTAAACATCGTATTTACACCTAATACATCCTTATCAATTATTACTGTTGGATATTTTTACAATTACGGGAAAGGAGTGAAACTCAAACTTAATGAGAGTGCAATTCAGTGGAGTCCAAAGTTCTCTCAGGTATCCAGAAATTTTCCTTTAAATGCCTTTTTTTAATATTAAGAATGTTGAGCCTAACTTGTGTTGTATCATCTATTATGTGGGCTAAGGACCTATAACCGAGGAGGTAGCAAAGTGTAATGCCTGTTGAGATATAGGATATTTCTTACGCAGAGATGGAAACAATGAACATACATAGAGTCAGACTATAAACTCCTCTACTTAGAGTTACCCTTCCACATTGTTCCCATCACATTCAATGTATTTGCACCATCATGTTACTCAGACCTCTAATCCAGTTTGGATAAAATCCACAGAGCACTCTTTTTTTCTCTTCCTGATAACTTACTTCAGCTTTCAAAGTGTACCAATGTAGGTTGGACTGTTGTGCCTGCTGTCCAAAAGGTCCATGACAATGATAGCTTGGTTATCAGAGAACACGTTCAACGTGACTTTTTGCTCTGTTCTGGCAGATTTTAATTTCTTTGGACGAGGAGATCTCAAATGCCACCATTCAAAGCCTTGTCAACAATTTCAGTTTCTCCCTTTTTAAACTTCTTTACCCAACACCTATCATTGCTCACGTCATTTACTACATCACCATATGCTTTGTTCAGGTGATCCACTTCAATAAAACTTTGGATTTTACGTACTCTGGTTTTGTTTGGCTGATCTTTGGGAGATTACTTTAAATCATGTGTATCAAAGGGAGGAGAATAACGGACACTTAAAGAGTAATGAGCATTAGAAAATGTTTATAAAGAAGCAATAGAATGGTTGACAGTATAAATGCATACTAGAAACATGCGTTCTTCACTTGTAGGTTTAACGCTTTCCAAAAGGTTCTTTATACATTTAGTCAATCTTGGTTCCATTGGTGATCATTATTAAAAGAAAATCTTAAATATTAATCAAAATATATTATATTAACTGGATTTTGTCTTCAGACTCCACGTTCTCTGTGCTCCGCAAGCTGCCTCCCCGGATACCAAAAACTTCAACATAAAGGAGGACAACCGTGCTGTCACCACTGTGTACCCTGCCCGGAGAATGAGATCACCAATAAGAACGGTTGGTACCTTTTAATGATCTGATGCTTTTGGCTGGATTGGGCGACACGGAGTAGGTGAGTCTGCGGTCAGATAGCACTACACAAGAGGCATTGCAGTGAGAGATTTTTATTTTTTTACCTTTTTTCATGCTGCTTGGGGACTATTAAATAAAAACAACAAAAATACCCGTCCAAAATCAGCCTTTAAGTTTTAGGATTAAGATTGCGTGTTAAAGGGAGATGAGCTGGTTTTAAAAGCAGAGAAAATATGCAATTTCTTTATTTTTTGTTCCCATGAGTTAATGCCAGAATATACAATATATCCATCTTGAAGAGAATGATATCATTCTGATGGCCTGGGTTCTTCATTTGTGTTATTTTCCTTAAATGAGAGAGGTCTACATAGAAATTTCTATGCCCATCAAATCAGCTATTCCTCCTGATTTGGTCATCACTAGTCACCAGTTGCTTGGCTTTTAGTCATCTCCTTCTCTTCATTCCGTTATTGTTTTAAGTTTATCGTCGCATTACATCTATTACGCTGATAAAACTAGGCTAACACATCAGCAGCTGGATTTGACATCGGCTGGGCAGCATGCTTATTTACATCATCATATCCATTATACCCTTTCATTTTCCTGAGAGCCCAAGTGCCACCTTTATCAACCTTCTAAGCTGTGATGAAGGGACCTCTCCTATCTCCTGAAATGTGTTGGCTAAGGCTTCATGTATGAAACATTTTGACTGTTTTAGTTGAATGAACCTAACATTTAAACTTCTCTTTTGGGTGTAGTGCTACAGTTTTGGGTTTTCCAGTTTATTTCTTAGAACCTTCAGTAAACATGAGCTGCCTGACTCCTGTCCATTGCACCTTATTACATTAAATTACACGTGAACCTGTGGGGGTGAAATCTAAAAGTGGGATCAAGCGCCATTAACTTACCTTTTTCTACAGCTACAATAAACAAAGACTACTTTTTGTTATTATTTAACTGAAGACATGCGTGGGATCCATTGTGATAGTGATATATCACAATGTATCACTCGGCCGTAGATCTTCAAATCATCTCTGAATTGGTGCTGAAACTGTCCTTCCTTCTGGAGGGGGCTACCTTTGTTCCCCATGGTCCCTGTGTGTGCTGTAAAGTAGTCACCGCTCCAAGCTCACTCCCATGATGGACTACAATCTCAATACAAATGATTCAACTAAACTTGAGATTGTAGGCCATCAGGGGAACAAGCTTGGAGCGGTGACTACTTTACAACACACACAGGGACCATGGGGAACAATAGTAGCCCCCCTCCAGAAGGAAGGAGAGTGTCAGCACCAATTCAGAGATGATTTGAGGATCTACAGCCGAGTGATACACAAATATGATACATTTTTGTTAATCGTTAAGGCACTTGAATATATTTTTAAGGTTTGATTCCTAAGTTTAGTGTCACTTTAAGTAACAACAGTAAGCTACAAGTGCATGCAAATTTACTGGGTTTTATTTAAAAGTTCACAAAACCCTACTTTTGAGATTCACTGCCTACCGGTCCTAGGTGTTGATGCTCAGCTGATGAATAGGGACAATGCTCTTAAAAGAAAATTCTGGCATACTGGAACAAGAAGAAACCGAAAACCACCAGAGCTGGACATTTTTCTAGAATTCATCGTATTTTGAATGCTAGATACCTCCCTGCAAACTATCCTGACTCTCCGAACTCTGTCCCTAATACTTTAAGTTGTGCAACCTAACTCTATATATAGTCCATAAGCATTTAGCACTGGTTCAATAAAAATAACCTCCATGCTCCGAAAAATTTTTGCTATAGTAGTTTTGTCTAATGCTAAATTTCCCACAAAAGGGAGGGAGGACATACGGATGGATGATGAAATCCACAAAGTGTCACCAGTACATGACACAACCTCAACCTTTTCTGGTCATTCCACAACAAAAAGGTTGAAACTTGTCTGATATAAAATAAAGAAGCGTATCCTTACTTATAATATACAGACAAGCTGGGGAGTTCCCAAAACATCAAAGCGTGAATGAGACGGAAAAAAATCCTATTGTCCTATCGTCTCATTCATCTACATCTCTGTCGATCACATGAGGCAATAAATCATTTACTGACCCTAGCTCTATGCAAGCTATATATAACACAATATCAGACTTCAAGTTATGACTTGTTCTTCTCTAATCCCTCATTGTGTCTTTGAAATGATAGCGATATCAGATAAATGTACACCTCCTGAAACTGTGCTCAAATCATGAGAACTTTTTCTTGTCTTTCAGACATGGAAAGGTGTTACAAGTGTCCAGAGGATCAATGGCCCAATGAGAGAAGAGACACCTGTATACAAAGAACAATTGATTTCCTGTCTTATGGAGATACATTGGGAACTTCTCTTATGTTTATGGCTCTATTATTCTGTTTTGGAACTATTATCATGTTTGGGATATTTGTGAAACACAAAGACACTCCAATAGTAAAAGCCAATAACCGGACCCTCAGCTTCATCCTTCTCATCTCACTGATCCTGTCCTTTCTTTGTCCTCTACTCTTCATCGGACGTCCCACAAAGATTTCCTGTCTTCTCCGACAAGCTGTTTTTGGGACAATTTTCTCTGTTGCAGTTTCTTCGGTTCTGGCTAAAACAATTACTGTTGTTTTGGCTTTTAATGTCACCAGACCTAACAGTATTAACAAGTGGATGATGAAACAATTCTCTGTTTTCCTCCTGATTATCTGCTCTTCTTGGCAGCTTGTGATCTGTGTCTTCTGGTTTGTCGTTTCCCCACCATTCCCAGAGTATGACACCCAAGTGGAGGTGGGGAAGATAATATTACAGTGTAACGAGGGCTCTGTCACTGCTTTCTACATTGTGATTGGCTACATGGGATGTCTGGCTGTGTTCAGCTTTATTTTAGCATTTTTAGCCAGGAAACTTCCAGACACGTTCAATGAAGCTCAGTATATCACATTCAGCATGCTGGTCTTCTGCAGTGTTTGGATCTCCTTCATCCCAGCCTACCTCAGCACCAAAGGGAAATACATGGTGGCTGTGGAGGTCTTCGCCATCTTGTCCTCCAGTGCTGGACTCCTGGGCTGCATCTTCATCCCCAAATGTTACATCATTCTGATGAGACCGGAGCTGAATGTGAAGGTGACTGTAGCCCAAAGAAAAGCACTTCAGTAAAAATAAAAAATACTTTTTGGCATTAAATGTAATGCTGTAACACATATAAATTGTAGCAAAATAAATAGCTTTTCTTGAGTACTTCAAGTTTGGTAAAAGCCGTTGGGTATTGTTTAAAAATACAAAAACAACAACTGAAATGATATAAAAAATACAAACAAAAGAAAACAACAATCAATAAAAGTCACTCAGGATAAATATATGATCAATGACTCTTCTCTCCTTTTAGCTTCAATGGGGTTTCATTCAGTGACAGCATGTTGGAAAGAAAACAGCTTGTGGTGTGTTCCCATAGTGCTCTGATGATCCTTTTTCATGGGGAACCCTTTGTTATATCTTTATTTGTAAAACATATGTATCATATATCAGATTAAAATGTGCTTCTATCAGTTACCTGTGATTATGTCGTAAGATTCTTTGTGGACTAAAGGTCAAGAACATGGTAGCATACACTATGATATTCAATTAACTTTGAATTAAGAAAATAACGCTGACTTTATTATTATTATTATTATTATTATTATTATTAGAATATCTTTGCAAAATAAAACATACTTAGAACATCTCTGCAATGTGTGCACATTTACTTGTGTTTTATCCCTGCAAGTACAGATACATACCTGTTGATCTGCCACAAATCTTCCATGCTCCTAACTTCCTGTTTGATCTGACAACATACGGCTTCTTCTGGACTAAAATTATATATATAACATGTTCTTATAATGTATATAATGTTCTTATGAAAAACTGAAGGTTGAATGCTTAGCGTCATTATAGTCTGTACTCGATTGGGAAGGCATTCCTCCAGACTTTAGAGTGTGTCTGGGGGAATTTGTGCCTATTCAGCAAAAAGAGCATTTGTGAGGTCAGGTTCTGATGTTGGAGGAGAAGACCTGGCTCACAATTGGTGTTCCAGTTCATGTCAAAGGTGTTTAGTAGGGTTGAGGTCAGGGCTCTGTGCAGGACATTTACATTTCTTCATGCAGAACAAGTGAAATCATGTCTTTATGCATTGGGCTTTGTGCACAGCGGGAACAGAAAACAGAAACAGAAAAGGGTCTTCACATACTATTGCTGCAAGATTGACAGCTTGCTATGGTCTATACTCCTTTGTATACTGTAGCATTAACAATACCCTTCAATGGAAACATCTGAAAATCATTTGGTAAAGATGTCCACATACTTTGACCACATCCTACCCATATATGTATTTACAGGTAACCGTTAAACAGAAGGAAAGTGGATGTATAAATTAAGGGTTTTAATGCCATTTAGTGCCTTCAGTGGGTGGATTCGGTCTGCAGAATATCCAGTCTTGCTGTCCTGATGGCCATTGATTGGCAATGGCAACTCATACATGCTCCTACATTCATTGAATGAGGGTTGCCTCCCTGGACCCTTCTTCCTCTGTCCAGCCATAGAGAGGTTCTGAACAGTGACATCACTGGTAATCAGAAATCATGGATATCCGCAGGACAATTCCTTTAGAATTCCAACTCTTGAAGTCACTAGTGAGGGACAGCAACAGGGGACGAGTGGAGTATCTCTGGTCTGGAGTAAGTAACATTGGATGGGAGGGGAATGTATTGCCACTAAATACCAGTGTACACATATTCATTAAGCACCAATGCAAAAGTGTTCTTACCACCGATTGTCAATGCAAATTTATTCTTGCCAATGAACACCAACAAAAATATATTTTGTGCCACTGCTAGTCAATGCAAAGTTATTGTTTCCACTAATTATTTATACAGCAAAAAACAACCACGATTTCCACATTTACATGCTATTATTATTATATTTTATTATTATTATCTTCTTCTCCATCTACACCTCCTCCCTTGGTCAGTTAATAACCTCACATGGCTTCCAATACCATCTCTATGCGGATGACACTCAAATCTATCTTTCCACTCCACAACTCTCCCCCTCCGTGTCCTTGCGTGTCACTAATCTACTAACTGACATATCAGTCTGGATGTCACAACACTTCTTAAAACTCAACGTTTCAAAAAATTAGCTCTTGATATTTCCTCCTGCCAGTGCACCTTCCCCCAACATTTCAGTTGAGATTGATAACTAGACATGTGCACTGCCAAAAAATTTGTTTAGTTTCGTTTCGTTTTAAATTCGGATTTGTGTTATGTCGTTTCTCGGGATGCGGGTGTGAAAGTCAATTCGGATTCGGAATTCGGTAGCGGTAGGTCGAACGTTCATTTCGTTTTCTGTTCTTATTCGTTTCTTATTCGTTTCGTTCGTTCGTGACATTTGAGGGGGGGAAATTTTTTTTCTCCTTCTCTAATGTCACTTTGCTCCAACGAACGAAACGAATAAGAAACGAATAAGAAACGAAAACGAAACGAACGTTCGGACTACCGCTACCGAATTTCGGATACATCCGAAAATTCGGATACATCCGAATGTCCGAATTTCCAAAAATTTGTCCGAATTTCGATTCGGAACGAAACGAATCGCACATGTCTATTGATAACACAACTATCCCCCCCTCCCCTCATGCCAGGGTGCTAGGTGTCCTCCTTGACTCAGACCTCACCTTTCTTCCTCACATCCAATCACTATCCAAATCCTGCCGCCTTCACCTTCGTAACATCTCCAAAATACGCCCCTTCCTCACCAATGACACCGCAAAACTACTCATCCACTGACTTGTTATATCTCGTCTTGACTATTGCAACTCCCTCCTCATTGGTCTTCTACTACACAGGCTCCTCCCCCCTTCAGTCTATCATGAATGCAGCTGCTAGACTCATCCACCTAACTAACCGCTCAGTGTCTGCAACCCCCCTCTGCCAATCCCTGCACTGGCTTCCACTCGCCCAGAGGATAAAATTCAAAATATTAACAGTCACTTACAAAGCCATCCACAACTCCGCCCCCGGATATATCTCAGACCTTGTCTCAAAATATCACCCTAACCGCCCCCTCCGCTCATCCCAAGATCTCCTGCTTTCCAGTAGACATGTGCGATTCGTTTCGTTACGAATCGAAATTCGTACGAATTTTCCTGAAATTCGTAAATTCGGAAGCATCCGAAATCCGAATTGCAGTTTCCGAATTATATCCGAAATACGAAATTCCGTTAACGAATTTCGGATCCGAATTTCTTTGAAACAGGAACTAATATTACCCCTGTAAATGAGGTTGAACAACATGACAAGATTTTTTTTTTTAATTCGAAATAGCAATCCGCTGCTGCTGAGGGTTGCATTACAATACACAGGCAGGAAATACGAAATTCAGTTGACGGAATTTCGTTCCGTTACGAATTGAAGTTAAAAAGCAAAATACCTTTGTTAATAATGGAGTTGATGAGGTTTTTTTTTTATCCGAAATACGAAATTCGGATCCGGAATCCGTTAACGGAATTCGTATTTCGTTTGGTTGACCAATCAGAGGTTTTCTCTTCTGCTGCTGAGAGTTGCATTACAATACAGGCAGGAAATACGAAATTCTGTTGAGGGAATTTCGTTCCGTTACGAACATTCGCTATATTGAAGTTAAAAAGCAAAGTACATTTATATTGAAGTTGATGGTAGTTTTTTTTTATCCGAAATACGAAATTCGGATATGGAATCCGTTAACGGAATTCGTATTTCGATAAAAAAACAACTACCACATCGACTCCAATATTAACAAAGGTATTTTTGCTTTTTAACTTAATCACGAAAATGTGCCGAAACGGAACGAAACTAATTTTTGACGGCACACAAGTCTACTTTCCAGCACCCTTGTCAACTCCTCCCATACTCGCCAGGACCTTTTGAAAGCAATTTGACAGGTGTCGGCTGAATGTCAACAGATAGGCGGGGCTAGCAGTGACATCACCGCTGGCTCCGTCCATGTTTTTCATTCAGCTGGGACCTGTCAAAATACTTTCAAAAAGTCCTGGCCCGAATGACAACAAATGGGTGGAGCTAGCGGTGATGTCACCACTAGCTCGGCCTATCTGTTGACATTCAGCTGTAACTGACAAATTGTTCATTCTGACTGGTGCAGGAGTTTGGGTCGGCAAGCTTATGGGGGGAACCCCACGCATTTTTTTCTACATTTTAAACTGGGGGTCCCTTCTAATAATCATACCAGACCTAAAGGGTAAGGTTTTGAAGGGGGACCCCACACTGTTTTCTCTTTTGTCTTCTTTTGTTTACGTTTTTTATATTCTGTTTGCTAATAAAACAGAATAACCGAGCCGAATAACGCATGGGAATAGGGGTGAACACCAGGGAAAGAACTGTCGAACGCTCGCCTCTGCCGATCTACATGTTGGATCGGCTGAGGCGAACATGTTCTTCACTTTGGTTCAGCCAAAGTTCGGCTCCCTTCACTTCGGGTCTGTTATTTACTCGGCTGCCTTCCACAGCTTAGTGAATAACCCCCATAGTGTACCTGAGGGACTCAACCGGGGAGCTATTCTACACCAAAGTCCATCAACCCTTGTGGGGTATACCAGGCAGCTTCTTAGCTCTGAACCTCGGGTCTTCATCAAATAGGCAACTCTGGTCCATAATTTTTAAAAGAGCATAGGACTAAATGTGGAGACACAAGACAGTGAGAACAGGGCCAAATGTTGAGACAAAAGACATAGAACGTAGAGGTGCACAGAAATGAAAATTTCAAAAACAAAACTAAACCGAAATGAAAAAAAATGTCAGGCCGAAACTGAAACCGAAAATGCAGATCACCCCTATTCATTCCTAATTGAGGATACAGTAAACATACTCTGTCCTCAATTATCTACAAACACTCAGCGATCACTGATCACTGACTGCTTGTACCCGCTCTCCTTCCTGACACACTGTCACAGGAGGCTGGGCAAGGCGGTGGGGAGGAGAGCTCAGCCTAAATTTGCCCTACCCAATCAGCCAGCTGTGTGGATCTTAACAGTATTGTCGGGATCCGTCCCGGCTGTGGCACTCTCAGCATATAGCGGGCCAAAGCCCGCTATATGCTGAGCTCTGGGTGACGGGAGGACACAGTAT